AAGAAAAAAATTCGATATATCACATATTTCTCGTTCAGTATCGAATTATATTTTGTTAAATTATATGATTAAAAATTTTTCAATATTTAGTTACATCAGAGTTAAAATATAGTGTTCGAGTTATTATTGAGAAATTTATTATCTGTTACAAATCTAAATCAGTATTATAAGCAATAAAGATAGTAATGATGCTTTTCGTTTTCTGTAGTTGATGATGTTAACATTTAAAACTTCAATCTCAAATATAAAAACTTCAAAATATTTTAACTAGAGAAAAAAATCTATGCGAAATGAGAATATGATTCTATTGATTAAATCATTTATTATAAATTCTAGATGATTTTTGACTACAAACAAAAAAGAAAATATTTTCACTGATTACTCTTCTATGGAAAAATATATAAAAACTTTGATTTTTTATTCATGATGGATTGAAAATTTTGAATATTACTATTGTACGATTATAGAAAACCGATGTCGACCAAATACAATCATATTTACAAGACAAGAGTATCATTTAATGCCAAATATATTTTGATGCAAGTACCATTACGATTAGGATGAGAGACACCATTAACTACTACAAATAAAAAACAACTATATGATAAAAACAAATGATAGAATACATACAACTCATGTGGAAAATTAAATGGTTAAAAACAAAAAAAGATAATTGTCAAGTGAAATGTTAAATATATAAATGCCGATAAATTCATTTTTGATACATAATCAACGTTCGCATTTGCTTTAAAATACGAAAAAAGTAATCTCCTGACATTATAACCATTTATGAACATTGTGTAATTCGATTATTCTTAATAAAATTTTAAATTATCTACAATGTGTAAGCTTAAATTGATTCCTAAGATTTTATTCTTTACATCAATCTAATTCTATTTCTGATAGAAAAATGTCAATTATATTTCATACTTTTAATTTATATTGTTCTTGAGTTGGTTTTCATCTAAAAAATAATATAGAATTTATTTTTATAAGCAAGAATTCCATCTATTGCTGTTTTATTGGTGTATAATGGTAATAAACTTATTAACTCGGTCAGTAATGTCACTTGAACAATACATCAACATCTATTCTTGAAGTTTCACAATAACCAAATAAACAAAATTCGAAAAATAATAATAACAAACATAAACAAACTAACTAACGTATGCTCAAATTAGTAAATCATCAATTATATTTAGCTAAATAAAACAAACATCAGTTACTGTTTTATAAATATTTGAAGAGCTATTCAACTAAATCGAACTAATACATAGTGCAAAATCTTTATATATTATAGAAACAACATAAAGGCTTTTTAAAATCAAATTAAAGATATTTCTATGATCATCATACAATTATGACATAGAAGAACAATCGAATATACTAATCGTACCAGAATGATAAAATCTGAATTTTTTTTCAAAAGATACATCGTCGAATTTTCTAGAATAACTTTATGAAAAAAGTCTTTCAATTTGTTTTAATGAATTTTTCGGAAAATATTGGACGTATTGAAAATATTTTCTGCACAGATATGTTACAATAACTTGAATGTTTTTTCTTCGGAGATGATGCATGGTGGCTTTGTCTGCAATAATCTATGTAAAGGGTCCTTTTGAATTAAGTTAAATGATTTTGAAAGAGTTAAAAAGAAAGATATACGATATATTATTATTTCCTCACTAAAATAGTAGTTTAAACGATTTAGAAATAATGCATTTATTGTCGAAATTAAATTCATTGTATACAGCTCATTAGTGAATACAAGGTTGTTATGACATATTTGTGCAGTGAGAAATGCAAAATCGATATTATTAAAGATGTTTTCTATACTTCCAATCCAATAAACAATAGCAATTTTTCATGTATAATTCCTTTTAATTTCCTAAAAATTCATTAAAATATAAATCAAAATACTTTTCTCATATAGTTATTCTAAACAATTCGATGACATATCTTTTGAAAAAAACAACTATTTAAGTTTTTGTCATTTTTCTGTGTAAAATTACATCTAAAACAAACTATAGTACACATGTTACTTCTCATTCGTTTCTCATCATTTATCTACCAGAGATATTTTCATCTGGTAAATTTTCAAAATATTACTATATGTACTTCCATATCTATATAAATTCAACCTAAATCTAATTCTGAATTTCAATCAATTTTTTAATATTTCGAATGATAGATCACAATGAAAACTAAGTTGAATCAGTTCATTTTCATATAACGACAGCGCTTTTTTATAATGAGATATTTTTAAAAAATTTGAAGGCAAAGCAGAAGTAAAAAGAATAGCTAAAAATATTCATCTTGTGACGTTCCACAGAAAAAAAATTTTAATTGTTGATATTCTTTTGATCTTTTAATAGAGCGAAATAAAATTGAACTTCATTTTGACTATTTTTGTCAAATTTATGAATAGTTTTGTATTTTTTTTTTTGTCTCAAGATATTTTTATAATATTAAAGTCATTAGTGTTTTTTTTCTCTAAAGTTTTCAAGATATATTTCGTATTTATCTAAAAGAATAAACTCAAAAATAAATTATCTTTCTATTTAATTTTTTATTTTAGATGAAATTCTTGTATGAAAACATAATGAAAAAGTAGCTATTTGAAGACATATGTCATATTTATTAGATCAATATAAAATCATGATTAATTCAAAAAAAAAACAACAAAGAAGTTCATTTGTTATTTTCTCTAGTAGCTTTAATTGTCGAATAATTGATGTAGAAAAAAAAAATTGAATTTAATATGCGAAAAATTTTCATTATCGAAATTTTTAGAAATTAAATCATTTGTATGAAAAAAGTTTGACATTATTTATGAATTTACATATGCTATATATCAGTGAAGCCAAATACATTGCTCTAACATTATGTTCTGAATAAGTAATGATTTGTTTCTTCTTCTCTACAGGCCCCCGTAGCTCAGTTGGACTAGAGCGCCGTACTTATACACAGTATCGGAGCAATGCGGATGTCGTGAGTTCGAGCCTCACCGGGGGCATCTACTCTTTTTTTTTATTCTACTCGTTCTTTTTTCTATTTCTTTTGACATTAACCATACATCTCTGTTATAATAGTCTTCGTTACATTGGATAGAAATAATTCTTATCTGAAATTAAATAAAAGATAGACATAACTACAATTTGTCTTTATTTCTTAAGTATAAGGAAGATAAATTAGTTCATATAAATACTCGTATGTAAGCTAGTTTTCTATTTCAACAAAAATAATACTACTTTCTTTATATTAGAATTTTTTATGAAATATTTATATATATTTTTTGTCCAGCAATTTCTAGGATTTATTGGAATTTTTCTATAAATCCTGTTGTATATGCTATCATCAAATAAAAGACATTACATTGAAAATAGGTATCTAGCTGAGAATGAGTGTGAAAACAACACTTTAGCAATCGTCGATTAACTGAGAGTGAAAGCTAACTCTTCAGAATTATGACTCTTTTTCGTTTCAGTTAAAATATATTATATACTATCAATAGAATAAGTCCAGATCAATCCGGTAACTTAAATAAATTCCAGTAACCTCTCTTATAATCAAGAAAAATATGAGGATATGAGATGTGTTTTAAAATATGTTTCATATAGTCGAAGTCTATTTCTATATGATTATGTTATAAACAGTCATTGGATGTAAATAAAAAATTGTATCAACTATAAATATTATTGCTATGGCAACAGATGCTATTGATATATTTATTTATACTAAAGGTCGTCAGCTGATGAATCATACCTTTTGTTCCATTGAAACATCTGCTACATCTAAATTGTTTTTATTCGATTTCATAATGAAAAATCTCAAGTATTAATTGATACTTTTTTTTAAAATTACACCATGATTTTATATGTTGTGGAGTATCCATGTAATTACAATGTGAAAGACAAGAACTTTATTACGTTGCATTTAAAGCTAGAATGAAATATTAGTCAGAAATTTGTTTGTGTTGTTAAGAAAATCTTTTTTTAATTGCTGATTTCAATTCAATCAATAAGATTTATCTTGTGGTAATTTAATGAATTATACGTTGGAAAATATTCATGAATGCTCATAGTAACAAAAACAAGACAATCAATAGATCAAAATTCAATAATGAGGATAATATTAGAATGTCTTGCAGAGGAAGACACTAATATCTAATATGTTTAGTTGTCTTTCTCATTATCATTCTGGAGAGTAGGCCGAATGCGTACGCGACCAACTAGAGATACGCTTGTTTCGTACCGCATTAATTAAATCAAATGGCTTAACAATGGATGATTAGAGTAAAATACGACCAACAACAAGAACACATTTGAAGAAATTTATAAAATCTGGTTTTTTTAACAGTCTTAAATGATCTAGCATGAAGAATAATGAATTTAGCTAAAACATTCATGATTTCATCTTTCAATCTGATCGAAAACATAATTCGACTTATTCTTTATTGAATTAAAATATTTCGTTAATTGATTTTCGAGAAGAACTTTAATGACTTAAATCGATATGTTTTTGCATAAATCACTATATAATAGATCGTACTAATCCAATCGAAAGAATTTTTCAATAATTGGAAGATAGTGTGACTTTGTATGAAGCTGATGAACTCTCCTTGGCCATTTGTATGTGCAAAAGATAAACATTTCTATAAGTCTTCATCAATATGATGAACAACATCGGTTTTTTATAATATTTTATGAAATACGATCTAAAAAGAATCTCGAAGTATATAGGATAGAAAAATTGGCATCGCCGCCACAAAACAGGTATAATAAAACGATGTCCATGTGATTAGCAGCAACATCTACAATGTGTTTCACATGTTAATCCCACAGAAATTGTGCTAACAGCTTTTATTCTAATAATTATGAATAATCATATAAAAGAAAATCACGTACATTTCATAAAAAAAAAAAAAAAAACAAAATGTCCTGAGGAATGTTCACATTTCCTAATAAATTACTGATGAAATCGTCCAATAATATTTGACATCATCCTCGAGCTATGTTGAGATGAAGTATACGAAGTAAATCAAGTAAATAGAATTGTTTTTGTATCCAACTTCGATCATCCTTTTTTCCATGTTGTTGTTGTTGTTGTTGCTTCGAAGATTCATATCGAGAATAATTTGACTTAAGATAAATAAACACAATTGAATTATCATCATCATCATCATCATCATCATCATCATCATTATTATTATTTTCAAGAATAGCAAATTGTCCTTGTTTTTCCCATGGAATTATTTGACATGATAATTGATTAAGAACTTGTCGTACACGATTTGCTAAACATTTTCGACGACGACATTTTGATGCACCTAAATCATTCAATGAACAATCACGACAAACTAATCGTTTTGTATTGGAAAAAAATTCATTATTATTTATTAATTGATATTGATTATTATTTGTTTCTGTCAAATAATCATATGTAATATATCGAACAAGTTGAGATGATAAAAAGTTCTTATATATTTCACAATCATCACCAAGAAATAAAAGAAGACGACGAGTACATATATCTTTAAGTGAAAGAATATGTTGATTTGAAATTTGATCATTGGATTTTTCAAAATGAATAATAGCATTCAATAGACTTTTACGATCTACTGGAATAATTGTTAATTTCGATGCACGTGGTGAAAATGTTTTCATCATCTTGAAAAACCTATTCATAGTTTATATATTCGAATATATAATAACATAACTAACATGAATTATATACAGTAAAAAGAAAATCATAGAGAAAAAGAAAACAAAAATCTATTTGAAAAAAGAACCTCGTCCACGTCCAAATCCTGACGATATATCTAAAAATTTCAAATAAGAAAAAGATCTTCTTGTTTTTATTTTATTTTAATTATTAAAATAAAACTTACTATTATCTGTTATTGATGATTTAGGTGATGTTTTATAACTAGTATTGATTATTGAATCATTTTCATCTTCACTTATTTGTTGTTCTATTGATATATCATTTTGTAATAGATCAGCATCAATGCCTCGTCCACGACCAAGTGTAGGTTTCGTTTGATTATTAGGTTTTTTCTTATCTAATGAAATAAGTCGTTGTGAAAAACAAGAAACTCTTGATGAAATCGATGATGTTGAAGAAAGATGAACAGGTGATGGTACACGTTCATCATCAAATGAATTATCTAATGATTGTACAAATGTTTGAGGACGTTCTACTGATATATAATCACTATAACAAGTTTTCAATAAATCAGATAACATATCAGCTCCTTAAATATAAATTTTAAAAAAAAACTTTTCTTTTTTATCGAATTTCATACTTTCTTCATCAACAAATGTAATTTCAACTGAATATCGATCATTAGAAAAAACTTTTTTTGTAATAAAAATTTCATTGGCATCAAACCATGAAATGATTAATTTATCTGTTAATATTTGTCCATTAATTGATTTTAAAATCAATGTATCAACCATTTTTATTTCAATCTTAATCAAATATTATTAAAATGAATGAATGAAAATAGTCTTTTTGTTTTGTACTCGAATCATTTTCTAGATTAAAAAGACCTCTTTTATTATACAAAGATGTCGTCACTTGTGTATAAACATTAAAAGAAATCAAACAAACATAAACTACTATTGATGCATCATTAAATGAACAAATTGATTAAAATCAAGTCCCTTATTATTATTTCCTTGAATTAATAGTTCTTTAATAACAAGTTCATATTGTTCATCATCAAGTTGATTAAAAAGTGAATTTTCAGATCGAAGTTTATCCATATCTTGTCGTGTTATTAATCCATCATGATCTCGATCAAATACATCAAATGTTTGACGTAATTCATCATTTAATTCTGATGAACCAACATAACGAAGCATTAATGTTGAATATTGATCAACTGTTAATCCTGTTTCATCTAGTTGATCATCTGTTTGTTCACGAATAGTTGTTTGAATTAATTTTAATGCTTCATTAGAATCTAACTCTATACCTAATTAATAGAAAGACAGATAAAAAAAAAACATATCAAAATAATTTTTTTTTGCTTTACCAACAGATTTGGCAATTGCACAAAAATCATCTTCTTTAACTAAACGATCATGATCTCGATCAAGTAGAAAAAATGCTTCTTCAACTGCTCGAATAAATTGCCAGTTGGCATTTGTATTATTATTGCTATTGTTTGACATAGTTACTTTTGTTTACATATGTACACCTATAAAAATTGACAGATCGAAAAGAAAAAGAAAACTAAACTGTAAAATCTATTATGACTATGGTCATGTGTGTGTCTTACAATGTTGAATGAAAATAACAAGGAATAATAATAAAGCCTATTCACTTTGTTATAATCTATTACTGTTTATTGTATTTAATCATCTATTTTTTATTGAATTTTTAATATTAAAACTGAATAATAATGTGAATTAGTGTTTTCAATGCAAAATATTATCCTTAATTATAATATATATGATAAAAAAAGTACTGAACTCATGCATTATATCAAATCATAGGCCGTTCTTTTTATATTTTACCTTATAAACAAAAGGACAAAAAGAAGAAACAAAACAAATAGTGATAAAGAAAAAAAGCGTATCTAATCAACAAAAGCAAACACCATGCGAACTCTTTTATAATAAACATTTGTCCTTCACAATATTTATCTAGGTAAAAAAACAAAACAAAAGAAATTTATTATCTTCGTTCGTTCTTTGAATGCACGAAGCGTTTTCATAGTGAAAAAGAATAGATCTATACAAGAATCGTTTCAAAACATAATCAAAATTACATTGTTTCTTTTAATTTTTTTTTTTGTATATTTTTGTCTTAAGACGATTAAAATGCCAACAGCTTGTAACTTTCTCAAAGCATAGTAAAAAACCCCATATATCAATTTAAAATATAACTCGAAATATTACCAGGGATGGCCCGAGTCAACCAACAATGGGGGGGTGTCGCGAAATTTTTTGCAGTAAAAGGTGGAATTTTTTAATTTTGGGGGGGTGTAACATTATTTTTCATGACAAATGGAAGAAAATTTTTTGATTTTGCTGAGCAAAAAATAGAATTTTTCTAAGATTGGGGGGGTGTTCCACCCCCGACACCCCCCCGGTCGGGCCACCCCTGAATATTACATGTTGTACATCGTTGTAATACATTCTGATAGATTGATTAGAGTCTCTCTTCTTCAGTTTATTAATTTCTCTCCTATCGAAGTAAATATTTATCGGTAGAATTTATTCATACCTCTCAGATTTCACTGACATTCGTCGAACACGAAAAGAATTCAATCAATTTGGCCCTGATGAAATTATGTTGATGTGATCTAACCTTCTTTATCGGTTTTTCTGTTGTGTTTTTAAGTACGATACGGATCAAAAAAGCAATTCAGAAAAAAAAACATCCAAACATTGGATTTTTATCAATATTTATGTAAAACATAAAGTATTAATCATATAGACTACAAGGTACTCTAAACAATGACATATTTCTATGTTATAATCTATTATATTATATATGCATTCGATTCGTTTGTTTAGTTGAGATATGCGGAAATGAAAAGAAGCTATCTAAATGAGCGCTTAGAAAAACTTGAAAAGTATCAAAATCGCTTTAATAATTCACTAAATACTTATTCTTAATTAACCTTTTGAGTTCCGACGACGTATGGGCGTGCTGCATCGTATGATACCCCAACTCTTATCCGTTTGTTTAAGTTCAATTGCACATCCGAAAAGGGTGATTTTTTCACCACTTATACTACACATATAATGCTAATGATTTGTCATTGTTTGAGCTGTATGTCTCACCATGACCAAGAGTCATCAAGTACCTTTTTATTATCTTTCTGTTAAAATACTCCGTATCTAATTTTTTTAACATAAAGCTATAATTTTCATTTACGAATAGGATATTTAATCAAGTTAAGATTACATAAAGCAGAAACAACCTGTGTAATCTTAGTGATCTTATGAAAATCATCAATATCACCTCTGTATATACTTCCAAAAATAGCATACGTTTTGAGACGTTGATTTATATTTTCGATAGCGACTCTTGCACTATTTATATCACGGTTATAGTTTTTGTCTTCAGTTGTTAATTCACCTTTATGAGGCTTTTTTTT